GCTTCCCCCCAGCCTTGCATCTCTTGGCGCGCACTATACCGTAAGAATTGGGAGGTGTTATAGTGACCTCATCACACGATCCAGGTAGTGAAACCAAGATCCCCGTGCCCCCTGCAGCACCTATATTGAGGCCGAAGCCACGAGAGTCGCTGCACTGCAGGCGGTTTGCGGTTTGTGCCACGAGCTGGTCCGCGGCGACGGCTTTCGCTCCAGATCCGTGGGTTTTATTCCACGACTTTCACTTATGGCCGTCGCTAACCGGTCAGGCGTATCTGACCGGCCTTCCCCCTATCCGCCACCTAGGGACGCGCCCGATGGGTCGCTCAACCTGCACGGGAAATCTATCCTGCCGGTCAGTTGATGAATATGGGACCAAAAGTTCTACATGTACCTGACAACTAGTGGCAAAGTAATAATGCTAAACTCACCGAAAGTTGCGTAGTCCACCTGAAAGGTATAAGAAAATGTGTTCAGTACAACAGTAAATCTGTCCAAAGCCAAAGTTAGTTGAAATCAGCAATGCAAAGAGAGATAAATATCAAGAATTCATAAAACTTCGGTTGATTGTCGGAAAACTAAACTTAGTTCAAGCTAAAAGATGTATAGATTCATCCTCCATTTTCTTTCCATTATTATTTAAAAAGTTCACTACACTTTCACATACTACCGCATTTAACACGCACATCTAAGAACGCGATTCACACAGCACTGTCGCTAGCAAGCTGAATACTCATATGCCTTTTCTAAAACAGACACTGAAGTACAGAATAAACATCATTATTTAATAATGTGCTTGTTCCCCATTTTGGTGATTCATTGCGTTACTCTTGCTTGGCAGTTCGATTTCAGTTTCAAGTAACGAAGTCAAGAACAACTAAACACAAAACGCTCCAAGCGCCGATCTTTCACTAATTTAATTTTAAATTGAGGGGCATTTATATTTGTTTTATATCAGGTGTAGTGATTAATGCACAACGCCAAAACTAAAATTAATCACCGACTTAATTTTGTTTTTCTAAAAACATTGACTAAAAAAATTGCCAAGAATAACTTAAAAATAAAACTGCTGCTCAATTTCCGAACGATGATAAAAACCAACAAAATTTTAACTAATTAAAAATGTTCTTTTAAAATGTTTGATTTCAATAATTATTCCGCTACAAGTGCAATTTGAGGTGCGCCGTAGTGAGGCGCGATGAGTTTTGACTCACCAACTCACAGAGCGGCATCAACTCAAAAGCACAACTCAACACAGTGTTACCCAGGTCTAACCCTTATCATTCTTACTGAAACACTCTGTATAACTAATTCAAGGCTAACCAAATTAATTAATTTTAGAGTTGATATTTGGTCGAAAGAAATCGGCATAACACTAAGCGAATTAAGCATGACTATGACTAGGCAGAAAAAAATCCATGAGGTAAGTCGCCAACTCTGAAAGTGAAACCTAAAGTTTAAGGTAATTAGGCATCTATTTACATCTCTGAAATTATTAAGTGTCCACTTCTCATCACTAGTAGTTAAATAAGTAAACTATGCACATTAATGTGTACACACATTTTTAATTCCAAATACTCTTGAACTCAGAATGAATTTTCTAACAGAGTTTCAAACCACTAGAAGATCATTTATATACTATTGATGGTGTAATGCTTACCGCAGACGTTGCCTCAGATGTACGAACTTTTATGCAGGATAAAGTAAACGCAGTGCGGGTAAGTTGTATTTATTTTCCCTTACATGAAACAGGATTCTTGAAGAAATAAGTTAAAACATTAAAAGCCAACTGCACCGTCTTCATCATAAGCGTCACTTAGCTAAATGCCTCTCAAATACTTAAGCGACACTTAAAACTAATCTGCTGCACCATCCAACTTTATCATTCGCTGAACTAAGTTCCACCAAGTTTAGAGATTTTTGATAATTTTAAGGAATTTATTACTTGCCTATTTTCGTACCTGCCTAATTTGAAAGCTTTTGACAGGAACGTCTGCGAGAAGACGTTCGCTCATCTTTACTTATGAAGAAGATTGAAAGTGTGTGAACTTGTGTAGTGTAATTAAATGGAATACCCAATCACCAAAAATAATTCGAACTCCCAATTATACAAATGAGGAGAAATATCGTTTAATAGATATATGCCGAGACTATGAAGCGATAATAGAAAATAAGAAAACTGACTCGTGCACGTTGGCATGCCGAATTCAATTATATCAAATCCATCTACATCGTCGTCATCGTCCCATATTAAAGAATTCATAACGAACGCCGTGATTTACCTCATTACATATCCGCCGAACAAGAATTCATTATTCCAAAACGTGAATTCAAAAATAAGTTTTTGGTTATGTACATATTTATAACTCGTCAACAAACCGGCCACGCTTGCGTATAGGTCCCACTTATGGCTAAGACAAACTGCGAGCACGGTTTAGGCTAAGTGCCAGTTAGACTGGTTTAAGTGGCGCTTAAACTGCGGTGCAGTCACCTTAAATTATTAAGGCCCGTTCCCACTGTTGAAAATAAGATTGGCTTTTCCATTAAGCTCAGCTTTAAAAAAATCAGGTTTACAGCATTCAAAGCTCGGCTTAAATTAAGCCGTCAACTTTGGTGGGTTATGGTATTAAGCCGTGAATTTTAACCTTCGCTTTCCTTCCTCATACATGTGGCGATAGTTAACAAAATTGAAAATTACGATATCAAACAAAAACAATGGATATCGAAACTTGTTTTGACATATTTGAAGATGATCTAGATATCCTTGAGATAATCGAATTTGGATTACCAAGGACGATATATAACGGAAATAATCCATTGGAGGACTTGGACAAACTAACTTTTAAAAAAATATTTGGGTTCTACAAAACCACCACAAATATAAATAAATTGGATTATTTAATTAATATTGGTCATTTGCAAAATAAAGCCATAAATATTCTTCAAAATCACCGCAACACTACACAACAACAATTCATAATTATTTCGCAAATTTGCGTTAAAATTTTATTCTGTCAGTTCAAAATAAAATAACAATTCCTATATAAAATTCTTTAATAAAAATGGTTAAAAAACAGATGTATTTAAAAAATGAACGTTGGGTTGAAAATCACTCTAAACGCAAGGTTCCAATTGTACAATTTAGGAACCTTGCTCTAAACGTGTTCGAACTGAGGTTAATCCCTCGAGCTATCTTCTCAATCGCCAAAGTTCAAATGTAAAGATAGATAGAATGAATACATGTATTCATTCTATCATGGCAGCAAACGGGGCATAATTCCACATATGGCAAACAGATCCTGCTTGACACCGGCTTAACAAAGCCAACAACAGATTGGTACGGTGCAAGCCGTTTACTTTAAAGCCGAGCTTAATTTTTAAGGTCGGTTTATGTAAGCTTGGCTTTAATATAAAACGGTGCAAACGGCCCTAAGTTCCACTTAACTCCTAAGTCGAAGCGATGCAGTTGGCCCTCAATGTTAGACTAATAGTTTCTTAGAAAAAAATCTTTAAATAAGAACAGTTTCGTAAAACAAATCATTATGTAAACCAGATATTGATTTGCAATCATTTTTAGAGAATTGCGGATTATGCAGAATTTTTATCTTTCTACCGAAAAGAAGATGAATTGTTTAAAAACGAAACCCAAGAAAAATATTTCTACTTTGACACAGATGGATTTAAAAATACCGAAGAGAACATAACAAGATCTATGGAGATGGTTGAAGACGTATTTCTGGTAAATATTATTTAGCTTTTTCAGTAGTTATTAACAGTTTTATGTAGGATAGTCAAACAAATTATTGATAACATCTTTTCTTCAAAGAGCCCAAAAATTATCTCAGAGTCCAAAAATTATTATTTATTTTCATTTGTCTATCCCGTCAACGATGATGAGGCAATAGGGTGTTTTCACTGTTTTTTTAATGTTGATATATAGAAAGTAGTTACGGCAAACATTACACTGACATAATTTTTTTTGCAAAAAATCTTTAGTTTAGTTTAAATTCAAATCAGATATTTTTCAAAAACGCCAAATCCTTATCGTCGGTTGCATATCCCGATTGTGACGTAACAGGTCATATAAACAAAGTGTTTCGTGTTTATTTTGTTGTTTTCGTAGCTTTGTTTTATTATTTAAGCTATTGTGATTATCATTATTTTATTGATTATTATTATTATCATTATCTTGCATAATGAAAAATAGTGACATTTGTGGATCACAAAAGTGGTGTTTTGTGCCAGGATGCAAGAATACCTCAATAATTGCTGCAAACCAACTCTTTTTAACCGTTCCCCATGATTATGCACGTGAAGTTTTATGGTTCAAAGCTATGCTAGACGTGATGTTTCTAACTCAAAATCAATGTTTTTTGTTGCGAGGATCATTTTAATAAAATAACGAACAAAAAGTTAATGATGGGGCAGACAGAATATGCCTTCAATTGTACGCTGTGTTCTGGGCAAATTCTACCTTGTACCGTGTACAACGAACTCTCGCGTTTCAATTTCGTCATCTTCAGTCCGACATCACCATATTGTTCTCGTGATGCCCAAAATACAAATTTAAGAGTTCATTTAACTTTTAAAGCAGCCATGTGTATAGGTTAGGTTAAATTGAATAAGTGAAATTCTATATATTATTTCCATAATTTAAACCAATACAGACAGATTAGTATATTAAGGAGAGAATAATTAATAACGGATTTACGGATTTTTGCTTGCCCTTCTGCTTTGACACCCTTAAATTAAACTTAACAATCCTCTATTTATATGACCAGAGACGTCACAACCAATAGGATTGCGTTTTAGAGATTCATCATTTCTTAATTATGTCATCGCTTCTAACGTAAGTTGGTTATAAGTATACAGGGTGATTCAAAATTGGCGTCATTCCTTTAAAGGGGTGATAGAGGCTCCCTTGGAGAGTACGAGAAAAATATTGAAAATTTTTTTTTCCAAATTTTCTAGAAGATATTAACAGTTGAAGATCGAATTTCAACTTTGTTATTAAGCATTATTTTGAAATTATTCTATGTTTAATTGGTAGCATATTGGAATACTTAAGCATTCAATAAGAAAAATTACCATCTTTGCTTCAAATTACTAAAATTTTTGATATTAAATAAGTTCTCTTCTACAATTTTTTGATGAAAAGGCACAGCGGCAATGATGTTTTTCGTCATTAACTGATAGTTACAGGTGGATAGCCCTTGTCAATAATAACAATAATTTTTCAAACTGTGACTAACTTTGAATTTCCCTTCACTTAAATAACATTTAATAACAATTAATTTCCCTTTAATAACAATTAATACTTTTTACTATTTTTTCTGTACTCCTATAACAGCGCCAGACACACCCCCAGAGGAATAACGCCAATTTTGAATCACCCTGTATAAGTATATAATTTTTAATGCTAGCTTTTACAGACTTAATAAACATAGGGGCAACCCATTTAGAAAAACGTATCAGAGACGAGAACGTTCAAAAACAAAAACGGCTCGAATCTTAATAAGTAATTATTGTGCAATACCCGCTAGTGGTTGGTGGGTCACGTTTTATTTACATTTAATCCTGTGTTTTTGAAAATATTTAACGCCTCGTAATTTTACAAAATTTTCGTTGAAAAAAATCGTTCTAGAACATCATACAAATGGATATTATTTTTGGAAAAAGTAAAAAAATTGGAACGAGCGAGGTCAAAGCTTCGTTCCCTCAAAAGCTTTCAGAGTAAAGTAATACAGCTTAACGAAAAAGACAATCCATTTGGTCATGCACATGCATTGTAATGTTGAAACTTCTCGAAAGCGAATTATTTTTTCGAAAAGTCTTAAGACGCGCTTTTGTTCTGACTTAAAAACTATGTTGTTTCAGAAAAAGTATTCGGAAATGCCTCAAAGCTAACTACTAAAAAGTTACATAGCCATAACAACCGACTCTGCAACCAGAATACCAAGAAGCCACCAGGCATTCGACGTGTCAGTAGTTATGTTTACCTCATTTGGTTGTTTCATATAAAATTCCATTCTTTGTAACCACCTTGTGGAGTTAAGTAGTCAAGCTTATTTATCGTTGTATTGAATAAAACTTTTTAAAAACGGTTTCGTTCATTAAAGTTTTATAATTATCTGACAAATTTTTTGAACGTCTCCAGTATCATCCCTAGCAAGGTTTTTCTAAATGGGTTGACCTTAGGATTGTCAGTCCTAACATTCTCTTTTTCTTACTTTTGTTCTTGAACAAATAAAAAATTCCAGTTGGAAGCAGAAAGCAAGGGCGGATCCAGGGGGGGTTATGGGGGCCATAATCCTTCTTGTGCTGAGTTCAGGTCGACTTATGATATTTTGCTTTAATTTTATAGACGAATGACACGCATATTATGAATAGTAGGTATGCTGTTATTATAATTATATGGTGCATCAGCTCCTTCAGCATGAATAAATTAGTGACTCTTTTAATAAGGGCTCGATTTGGATCATTGAAAATTCGGTCTAAACCGAGTGATTTTCCCTAAAAATCGCATTTTGCAAACTTGAAATCAGTTGAGAAACTTGAAAGTCATAAGAGTTTGAAGGTCAAAAAGACGATTTTTCAAGACAAATGTTTCCAATATTTTCTTTGTGGATTTAAAGTCGCATAATTTTTGAGCAAACAACTCTTCGTATTACATTTAGGAATGTTTTCCGGGCTTTGAAGCCGTGGTCTATCGGAATTTCTTCCTGACGTTTCGTCCAGAGCTGCGGTGGACATTTTCAAAGGCGATGAGGCAAATGTATTTATAGGAACAACTCAATAGTTTAAAAAAATTGTGCAATTACATTTTTTTTTTAAATTCTCGAAATTTTTCAAAATTGAAAATGTGCACATTTTTCATTTAAGAGTCGAATTTAGACCAAAATGCCATTCAATAACACCGTTTTTGTATATAATTTCGGATAAAATATAACTTGGAGTTATAGGCTTAAACTGCCATCCGCATTGTTTGTACACTTATTTGCCGAGAATCCCGCAACTGTTATAATATTTCGAAAAGAAAAAAATTATTTTCTATAAAAACTGCATCTCGAAAAATTTGAATCGGTTGAAAAAATTGGAAGTTATGATGATTTTAAGGTCGAAAAGACGATTTCGATATACCTATACCTCTATTAACTCATTTTCAAAATAGAACATCGGATTGTCTGCGAAGTGTATTCACGATACATTCACTGTCTATAAGAAAATATGTAGTTGCAACAGTTTGGAACAAAATGGGCTCTAAATATTGCCAAGCGTAAAACTCTCAAACTTGCACATACTTACACTCTTTACTATGTAATTCGGTCAGATATCAACATTTTTCAGAAATTCAATAACTGTATGAAAGCCCATAGACTTGGCGTAAAAAGCTGTTTCAGGGCCAAGGTTTATTTTACCAAAATAAACTGTTTCAGCGCCAAAGGAGCTTACATTTTCAAATCTTAAAGATGTTCCTAGCAATATGCTCTTTTGCTACAAGTTTGGCGGCGCACCATCAAAATGCCACTTTTCAATAACATCGCTTTCGTATATAGTTTTGGAGAAATGGAATTTGGAGTTAGAGAGAATTAAACTGCCATCCACGTACTCGGCTGTCTTCTATCTGTAATAAACCCGGATTGTTGGCGTCAGTTCGACTGTTCCATTTGCGTATACTTCCGTTCTTTTGCCCGTAACGTCGTTAAATGTAAAGATATTTCAAAACGCTCAAAAAGCCTAAAGAAGTAGCTATAAAAACTGTCCATCCAACTTCAAATTGGATAGAGGCAACAGCAGGGGAGTAAAACTAGTTCGAACTCAGAGAGTGAACCTTTTGACAAAAAATTATTGAGAAATTAATATTAATTGAAAAAGTTGACATTTCTGCAGATTTAAATGCCGAATAGACGATTTTTGAAGCAAAAAATTCTCAGTTAAAAATTCTCCAGTGCATTTAAGGCCGAACACCCAAATTTCTGGAAGAATATATTTTTTTGACTACAAAGGCTCCTTGTCTAATTGTGGTTTTGCTCTAAATGTTTTTCTTTGTGTGTACATACTAAATAAAGTAATATCAAATTAAAAGTAAATAAAAAATTGCACCTAAATTTCTCGACAGAAAACCATCTCTAAATTCCATCCAATAATTTTGTTTGTTAGAATGGGCCGTTAGCTCTAAAGTGTCTGTCTTTCATCAATCATGCTCTTAGAGTGGTGACAATATTCCAATTATAATTCAAATATTGACATATTTAATACTGTTGATAACAATCGGTTAGAATTAAGGACAAAATTTGTCAATAATTGAATTGAAGCCTGTCCTGACTGAATACAGTTCGGTACAGACCTGCTACATGACCCCCCCTGACTTGAAAGCTGTATCTCCTCAGTGCATTTTTAAGAGGCGCTACCTTCTCTAGGCGGTACTTTTGCACTCCTGGGTATTATTTTCCTAATGTTTTCGGACTAGAGATTAAAATGGAATCACCTTGTATTATTTTTATCTGTTGCGTCCGCAAAGCGGTTCCAAAGCCGCTGCTTATACTTGTCTCTGAAAGAGCCAATGTTCGGACACCTGGAGCCCAATTCTCGAAACTGGGAACGGCGATCGCATGAGAAAGAAGGGCGTGGTTCTCTCGTGAAGCGAATATTGGTATTCTTGAAC